CGTCCTGCGTCCTCTCTGCCTACTCTTCCTGATCCGGAGTCTGACTCCCGTCGTGCTGCCAGTCCCACTGTCACCCGTCTCCTCGCTACTGTTGTCACTGACCCTACCTTTGAGTCCTCTGCTGCGTCTGCTCTGGTCGCTGAGTTGATAGACTTTGCTGCCCGGTGTCGTCTAGACTACGCCGCTAGCCTTGTTGCTGAGTCTGAGTCTGTCTGTCCTCCGTCCGTCGGGGTGAGTGTGCTCTTGGCACGGACGTCCTTGAGGACAGACAGGAGGAGTTCAAGTGCTTTGCTGCTACTTTACCCCACCTCGTGTCCATGCTAGTTGCCCTTGAGGGAGACCCGGATGCACCAGACATCCCGACCCCGCGCACTTACGCTGAGGCGATGGCGGGTCCCTACTCCTCTCAGTGGCAGACAGCCATGGACGCAGAGATGGCTTCCTGGAAGTCCACGGGCACCTACGTCGACGAGGTTCCCCCACCTGGGGCGAACATCGTCAGTGGCATGTGGATTTTCAGGGTGAAGCGGCCGCCGGGTTCTCCTCCTGTCTTCAAGGCGCGCTACGTGGCTCGAGGCTTCAGTCAGCGAGAGGGAGTTGACTTCTTTCAGACCTTCTCCCCCACCCCGAAGATGACTACTCTTCGGGTGCTGCTGCACATAGCCGCTCAGCGCGACTACGAGCTTCACTCACTTGACTTCAGCACTGCTTTCTTGCAGGGCAGCCTGCACGAGGAGATCTGGCTGCGCCGCCCTCCTGGCTTCACTGGGTCGGTTCCTCCTGGTACCCAGTGGAGGCTTCAGCGGCCGGTCTACGGTCTCCGCCAGGCACCGCGTGAGTGGCACGACACACTGAGGACGACACTTGCGGCTCTTGGGTTCGCTCCCTCTACTGCTGACCCGTCGCTGTTTCTACGCACCGACACCTCGCTGCCGCCGTTCTACATCCTCGTGTACGTCGACGACTTGGTCTTTGCCACTGCTGACACTGCGGCACTCGCCCACGTGAAGTCGGAGCTGCAGAGGAGACACACGTGCACAGACCTGGGTGAACTGACAAGCTATATTGGCCTGCGGATCACCCGGGACAGAGCACGGCGCACCATCACCTTGACTCAGTCACACATGGTGTAGCAGGTCCTTCAGCGCTTCGGCTTCACGTACTCCTCGCCTCAGTCCACTCCTCTGCCTACCGGTCACTCGCTCTCAGCTCTGCCTTCGGATGAGTCCGTAGAGCCGAGTGGCCCGTATCCAGAGCTTGTGGGCTGCCTCATGTACCTGATGACCTGCACTCGACCTGACCTTGCATACCCTCTTAGCATCCTTGCACGCTATGTCGCTCCTGGCCGTCACAGGAAGGAGCACATGGATGCCGCTAAGAGGGTGTTGCGCTACTTGTGCAGTACGTCGGGCATGGGGCTAGTGCTTGGAGGACGAGACCGAGTTGTACTTACTGGACACTCAGACGCTTCTTGGGCGGACGACCAGGCTACTCAGCGGTCGTCTCAGGGTTACACCTTCAGCCTTGGCTCCGGCTCAGTTTCTTGGCGTTCTACACGCTCTTCTTCTGTTCTCAGCTCCAGTTGTGAGGCTGAGATCTACGCCACAGCCATGGCTGCCCAGGAGCTACGCTGGCTGACCTACCTGCTGACCGACTTGGGAGAGCGGCCTCGTTCTCCTCCAGTGCTGTACGTCGACAACCAGGCTGCCATTGCCTTGTGTGAGGAGCACAGACTGGAGCACAGAACGAAGCACATCGCCTTGCGGTACTTCCTTGCTCGAGAGCTGCAGCAGCGTGGTCAGCTTCGTCTGCGTTACGTGGCCACAGAGGCCAACCTTGCTGATGTGTTCACCAAGGCGCTTCAGCCTTGTGACCATCAGCGTTTCTGTACTCTTCTGGGCCTTGTGCCTGCTGGACCTCACTTACTTACCTCTTGACTCTGCTTGTACTGTGATCTGTATATATATACCTGCATGTTTACACCTGCTAGGCTGTGATCACTGTATCTCTTGCTATATTATCAACCTGCATGTGAACTGGTCTTGTGACCACTTGCTTGTGCTCAGAATTTGTGTGGTATCCTTGAGATCCACCCTGAGCTTGTTTTGTCTTGCTTTGCTGGACTGGTCTTGTGACCCCTTGCTCTCCCCCACTTTGCCTATGGGGGTGTGTCAAACATTATATATATGTTGTGGTTGTTTAGGCTACAGTGGGTTAGCTGTCAGAAGTAGTAGGCAAAGTTTAGAAACAGAAAGAGGGTTTGGACTAGCAGCAGTTGAGATACAAATAGCAAACCCTAGATTGGGCTGTACTCGCTATAGAGTACCCCACTGCAGGCTAGACAAATACAACATTCTGACACACCCCCATAGCCAAAGTGGGGTGTAATCAGCACAACAAGCAGTCATAATAGTAGTTCACATTTTATGAGCAAAGCTAGAGGCAGTCACAGAGGGCAAGTGAGGAGGAGGAGGGCTGGCGAGAGGAGAGAAGAGTGGAGGCGACGACTGAAGCTGCAGACACACGGGCAACAGACGGCTCTGGTGCAGCTCTAGTGGCTACCGGGAGCAAGGGCCCCGGAATACAGGAGTAACAGGCTCTGCGTCTGATCAGCAGCGACAGGAGCAACGGACCCACGGGCGACAGGTGCAACCGGCTCTCTGAGCTACCGGTGGCTATCAGAACCCCGGAATACAGGCGCTGCAGACGACACGACGGCGGCCTCCGCTCAACCTCCCCCAACAGTCCCACACCCCTCGACACACACCCCCTGCTTCGCCCCTAGCTCCACTCCCCTTTCACCCCCCTAGTACCACTCCGTCGGCTCCCCACACACCCACCCCCCTGAGCTGCAGCTGCAGCAGCGGGAGACGGAGGAGGAGGAGAAGGAGGGGACGGGGCACACAACCGGCACCCCCACACCCGCCACCCCCAAACCCTAACACAGGAACGCGGGCAGTAGCGGGGGTGGGGCGCCGACAGAAGCTTGGGGGACGGACGAGGCGCGCGCACGGGTCTGCCGCAGGCGGGACGAGGCGCGCGCGGGCTGCCCGGGCCGCGCGCGGGTCCCAGGGGCGCTTCGACGGGCGACGGGGACGTTTCGACGGGCGACGGGGGGCGCTCCGACGGGCGACGGGGGCGCTTCGACGGGCGACGGGGGGGGGGGGCTTCGACGGGCGACGGGGGGCACTTCGACGGTGGGAAACCGCCGCGCGCCTCGGGGCGCACGGCAGGCAGAAAACCGCCGCACGCCCCGAGCGTACGGCGGGATGAAAACCTTAAAAAAAATTGTTGATTTGTCATGCACAGCGTCCGTCAACCGCGTAAACAGTACAGCTGATCTAGCATTTAAGTTTGTTAAAAAAGAGTTAAGGCGAAGCAGGAATTCGCGTCGAAATCGGGCAACATGCAATGATTGCTTCTGGTAACGTAAAAAAATGCAGTGTCGAGAGCCAACCATTCCGATTTCGATTTGCGTAATCCGGAATCGCATCTCGACTGTTTGTGCTAATTTTAAACGAAACTTTGGAAGCCTGTAATTTTACGATAACAAATTTCTAAGCCGCGTAAAGTGTACACACCTGCCCAATAACATGGCATGCACTTGAATAGTGTTCCTAGACTGAGTGGCATGCACCTGAAAATGGCCGCACTTCACGTCCCTCCGTTTCGCGAAACGCCACTGTATCACTTTCACTCGCGTGAGCCACACGTGCACCTGCACCGCCAACTGGGCGCCGCCACGTGCACCACACGCCATCACCTGCGGGATCAGGGCTGTCGATTCAAGGGCATATGGCCTTAATGCCCTGAACATTAAGGTCTGACTTTGCCCCAAAGTCCAGATTCTCAGGGTTGATTTTTTGTACAGCCCGGAATGATAACGGGCGTGGGCTGGGCCTTCCCCTGATTCTTACAGGGGCCTCTTGGAGGGTTTCCCTGATCCCCGCGAAAGTTTTCGACCTTACCCTGAAACTTCCACAGCCTCGCCCCCACCACCCCCCCCCCCCACCCCCTCCCTTCCCGTTTTTCCCTGTCTGATCTTATGACCGTGAAAATGCTAGATTACGACGTGGACTGGGCAGGTGTGTACCAGATATTCGACGGGGAGAAGCGCCGCAAGCCTGCCACTTAGTTATTTTTGTTGAGAATGTATATAGGTAGATAGCAGTTCTAAATTAACTCTGCCTTTATTAGTTTTCGTTATGTAGAGTTTGCCCTGATTGTTGTAGTGTAGCCCTGAATTTAAGTTTTTGGTTGGGTGCTTTCCCGGACGCTTAAAGGCTCGGAAAAGGACACTTCCCGGAGATTTCAGGGCTGAAATACGGGCACCTCAGACTCTCAAGTGTTGGCCTGGAACCAATCGACAGCCCTGTGCGGGATGTTGTTGCGTGTGCGGCGGAATCTGCACTGTCGATTCGGCTGCAATCGGAAAAGAGGGGTGTCGTCGTGGGGTGGAGCGAGTGGAGTGGACCCTAGTGCAACTTCCCTGCACAGTACATCCTTCCAAAAAAGGTTCTGTTTACGTTTAACCTTTTTGAACCGTTCGAAACCGAATGCATTCTGCATTCGGACCATTCCTGCACTAATATGGCAGCGTATCACCTTCTCGTCCCCCTGTGGTCGCACGCACGCAGCCTTCACACCCCTGCCCGACCACCTCATCTCGACCGCCATAGCCTCTCTCACACCTCGTCTTGCTCTTGTGGTTGTATTTGTGGCATTCCTTCCATCCCACAAATTACAGACCTTCGTTTCGTGGTCTTGAGAACTGCGGTGCGGGAAAAACTTAGATAGTAACCGTTCATTAGCTCTCATGGACTTAAACTTAGACCCTCCACCTGAAGATCCTACCTACGTTCCAGAAGTACCCGATTCGGGAAATGCCACGGGCAGTATTGGTAGGAATACCGAGTCTCGTTTGAGGGCCGCTGCTTTTCGCGATCGGGTTACCGATGATTGCGACGTTATCGCCGCTGCTTTTCGCGACCGGTGTACCGATGGCGGCGACGCCGCGCATCCATCAGGTTACCATCACCATCATCATCATTCCGAACGCGAACCGCTCGCTGATTTCCAACCTCCCGCAGTGTACCGCCGAGATCAGGCTCACCCGGTCGCGGATAGATCGCAGCCGTTCGATCCGGCAGGCGACGGTCCTGTAGAGTTCGCGATGGACGGCGCTGATCAGGCGGAGGGTCTTAAGGCCAGCTCTCCTCTGGGCGATGCCGCCTCCCCTGACCGCACCTTACTGCGAAGCGCTCCGCCCTGTTCGGGGGAGGACTCCGCGGGAGGGGACTGCGCGGAAGCAGAGCGCGCGAACGCGGACTGCGGGGGTTTTGACGTCGCGCAGCAGCCGTGCGCGCGCCAAATGGCTGCTGCGTTCCGTAGAAGCGGCGGCATTGGGGGCGCGTCCGACTCGCTCGGAGCAGCAGCGCGCGCGTGGAGGGGGAGCGGGTACTTCGCGCTTCTCCCCGACAACCTTTGCGCGAAAATCGCGTCGTTCATCGTGCACGCCAAGAGCCTCGTCGCGTTCCGCAGCACGTGCTCGTATCTCCGGGTGAGAATCATAGCATCCATGGCAGTACCTTCGGTTCGCTTCGCTTCGGTCCGGTTCAGCTCGGTTCATGGCAGCGCGCGCGACAGCCTGTGCGCCAAGATCGCGTCGTTCATCGTGCACGCCAAGAGCCTCGTCGCCTTCCGCTCCACCTGCTCCTACCTCCGGGTGAGCCGCGCAGCCATGCACCTGCTCGTATACCCCTAGGTGCGAATCAAAGGACCCCTTCCTTTCCCGCACTCAACTCTTCCCACAAACCCCCTCCGCCCCTCCCCCTCTCCCCCTCTCCCCCTCTCCCCCTCTCCCCCCCAGCGCGTGGTGCGGGTGGGCGGGGAGCTGGTGTTTCTAGCGGAGGATTTCCCCCACCGCGAGGCGGCGGAGAGGGGAATCACGCAGGCGCTGCTGCAGGCCACTGCCCCCGTCACCTCGCTCTACGTCGAAGCTCCCCCCGCCTCCGACCCCTTCCAGGTGAGCACCCCCCGCCTCCGACTCTTTTCAGGTTATTCTCCCTCCCCACTTTCCAGGTGAGAAAATTTTAGCTCAACGTGTTCAATAGCTCCTCCTGAACCCACCTTTAGTACTCAACTTGAGCACTGGTATAGCCCCCCCTTACCCCTTCCTCCTTACCCCACCTTCCCCCCTCCTTCCCCCCACCTTCCCCCCACCTTCCCCCCACCTTCCCCCACCTTCCTCCATCGTCACCCACCTTCCCCCCATCGTCGCTCTCCTTCCCCACATCGTCCCCCCACCTTCCCCCATCATCCCCTCACCTTCCCCCCTGTCTGCAGGAGCTAGCGGTGATGACGTGGTGCCTGGTGTGAGCTCACTTACCCCCACCTTTCCTCCACCATTCCCCCACCCCCTACCTCCCCCACCTCCCCCCCCACCCCCGTTCCCTCCACCCTTCCCCCACCAGGAGCTAGCGGTGATGACGTGGTGTCTGGTGTGCCGCGACTCTCTAGAAGAGCTCACTCTCGTGGACGGCACAGCAGATGCCACCATCCGCCGTGCACAGGCCCACGCTGCTGCCATCGCTGCTGCCGCCGCTGCCGCCGCCGCTGCTGCTGCTGCTGCCGCTGCTACCGCTCCTCTCTCTGAACCTGTAGATCTGTCAGCCACAGCTAGTAGAAACGGCACTGCTGCTAGCGCCAGTGCCACCACCGGTGCTCCTGCTGCTGGGTCGAGACAACGAGAGGGTGAAAGGCAGAGCCATGGCTTTGAAAACGGCGGAAACATTGAACGAAGCAGCAGCGACAGCGCTGACAATGGCGGCGGCGGCGGCGGCGGCGGCAGTGGCGGCAGTGGTCGTAGCAGGAACGGTGCTGCTGCTGCTGCTGCTGCTGCTGCTGCTGCTGCTGCTGCTGCTGTCACTGCTGCCAGGCTTCCCCCACCACCTTACCACGTCAATCTATCCCGCGCCCACGGGCGGGCAGCAGCAGCGGCTGCAACAGAGGAGGAAGAGGAGGAGGAGGTGGAGGAGCAGCCGCAGGAGTGGAAGCTGGAGCACGCGTCGCGTTGCCGCAACCTGCGCCAGCTGTACCTCGAGAACGCCGTGTTTGACTGCGTGTCCACGCTCCACCGCTGCTCTCTCTTCGCCTCGCTCACCCACCTCACCCTCGCCAAAGCCGTGGTGGCGGGGGACATGGTGGGGGACTTGTTGGCGTGCTGCCCGCGCCTGCAGGAGCTCACGATGCTGCTGTGCTCGGGGATTGGTCCGCTTGACCTCATGCATGCGCCCTGTGCGGAGTTGAGGAGGTTTGAAGTCAGATTGAGCAACCGTGCGGCCAGGAAGGATGCTTGTTTGGAGCTGCTGCGACTGAACGCGCCCAACCTTGAGGTATGGCTCTGTACTTTCTTGCCAAGGCGGTGATGGCGGGGGACATATTGGGGGATCTGCTCGCCTGCTGCCCGCGGTTGCAGGAGGTGACGCTGCTGCTGCGCTTGGGGATTGGCCCACAGGATCTGATGCATGCGCTGTGCCGTGTGTGGAGCTGACAAGGTTTGAAGTGCGGCTCAGCGACCGCGCTGCCAGCAAGGATGCTTGTCTGGAGCTCCCGCGAGCCGCACCAGGAAGGTTTGAGAAGGTGTGTGGCTGCCAGGAAGGATGCTTGTCTGGAGCTCCCGCGAGCCGCACCAGGAAGGTTTGAGAAGGTGTGTGGCTGCAAGGAAGGATGCTTGTCTGGAGCTCCCGCGAGCCGCACCAGGAAGGTTTGAGAAGGTGTGTGGCTGCCAGGAAGGATGCTTGTCTGGAGCTCCCGCGAGCCGCACCAGGAAGGTTTGAGAAGGTGTGTGGCTGCCAGGAAGGATGCTTGTCTGGAGCTCCCGCGAGCCGCACCAGGAAGGTTTGAGAAGGTGTGTGGCTGCCAGGTTTGAAAAAAAAAAAAAAAAAAAAAAAAAAAATCTGAAACGCCTTGACCTTTCCTCTTCCTCCATCTGACTTCCCCCTTCTTTTCCACTACCGCTCTACTTTGTGTTGCCTCTCTCAGAGGATCTAGAGCTGGAGGTGGACTGGCCACCGGAGGGCCGCCTGGAGCACGAGCCGTGGGGCGACATGACATCCGCATCCAGTCGGGTCGGGTGCGGTGCCTCGCCATGCCTCTTTCTCCATCCCTTTCACTGCCCACCAACCTCTTGATGCCTCTGATTGCCAGGGTCTACAGCTGGAGGTGGACCGGGCGCCAGAGAGGGAGCTCCTTCTAGAGCGCCTTTTCCACTCCCGTTCCTCCCCCCCTTGTACTACCCCCCTCCCCCCCTCCGCGCCCTGTTGCGATTGCCAGGACCTAGAGCTGGAGGTGGACTGGGCACCGGAGGGGCGGCTGGAGCATGAGCTGTGGGGCGACATCCGCATCGAGTCGGGGCGGCTGAGGCGCATGTCGCTGGAGCTGGCTGCTGGCTTCCAGTTTCATGCCAACCCTGATGGCTTCAGCCGACTCACTGAACTCAAGGTGCGGTCGTGACTTGTGAGTTGGTTTAAAACAGCTCGCTGCTCTCTGCTCGCTGCTCGCTGCTCGCTGCCTAGAGGAGCTCTCCATGACATATTACATCGACCCACTCGCAGCCTCTAGGGGAGTGGACCTCGCAGCCTCTCCATCCAGACCCATCCGCACCTCCCCATTTGAGACGTCTCAAACCGCACCTCCCCATTTGAGAGGTCTCCACAGCCGTCCACACCCCCCTTCCCCGTGTTCCTGCCTACTTCCCCGCTTCCTTTACCAGTTGACAGGCGACGATTGGAGCTGGGGCACGGTGCGAGCCATTCTGGACCTCTGTGCTCTGTCGCTCGAGGAGCTCTCACTGACGTGCTACATCGACCCGCTCTCAGCGGCGTCTATCGACACGGCTACGGCCTTCTTCTCCTCGCTGCCCTCGCTGCGCTTCCTGCTGCTCTGCCCCTCCGTCTACTACGTCATGATCGCCACACTCGGGGACACAAAGGTTATCAGGGTACGTGTGTGCGTGCGTGTGTGTGTGTGTGTGTGTGCGTGCGTGCGTGCGTGCGTGCGTGCGTGCGTGCGCGCGTGCGTGCGTGCGTGCGTGCGTGCGTGCGTGCGTGCGTGCGTGCGTGCGTGCGTGCGTGCGTGCGTGTGTGTGTGTGTATTAAAGGCTATCAGGGTACGTGGCATTAAAAAAGTCAGGCATACAAAACGGCGGAGATAGTGATGCGCTCTACGAAGGGCGGAGATAGTGGCGGAGCATACAAAGGGCCAGGTACGCTCTACAGCCATCGCTGCTCTTCTGCTGCTCTGCCCCTCCATCCGTCTACTGAGAAGTTATGATTGTCACACGGGGCGACACTAACGTGGTTCGGGTGAGTGTCACCTGCTGCCTTCGGCTCACATACCATTCCTTTCGGTGCCGTGAATGTCGCCTTCTGCTGCTCTGCCCCTTTCTCTCCCCCTCCCGTCAGGCGCCCAGCCTGGAGGAGTTCCACGTGGAGTATCACGACCACGCCATGGCAGTCACTGTGAGATCGCTCTCAACTCCCAATAACCCCTTTCAACCTTCCCCGTCCCCCTCCCGTCAGGCGCCCAGCTTGGAGGAGTTCCACGTGGAGTATCACGACCACGCCATGGCAGTCATCGCCTTCCTCACCGCCCTCCTGCGCGGCAGCCCACGACTGCGGTGCATACAGCCCATGGTCACCGTGCCGCAGGAACCCAGCACGGACTTGTTGGGGGACAAGGACTTCCGGCAGGCTATCGCTCGCCTCCAGGCCGAGTTCCCCGGCGTGTCGTTCCCTTCTGTTTGGCAGCTGTCGTGAGTGCACACGGTCAGGCCATTGGTGGTCTGTCATAAGGCAACATGCAGCAGCCTTACAAGCGCATGCTACATACAGCCCGTATTCACGGTGCCGCAGGAACACGGTACTAACCTGTTAGGAGACAAGGACTTCCAGCAAGTCATCGCCCGACTCCAGGCTGAGTTCCCCTGCGTGTCCTTCCCCTCGATGTGGCAGCTGACATAACTGCATGCACTCATGCAGCCTTAGTTGGAAGGCGGCCTGAGGGTGAGGGTTTGGTGCATCCAGCCCATGGTGACGGTGCTGCAGGAGCCACGAGCCACACACTGACCTGCTGGGAGACAAGGACTCTCGCCAGGCCATTGCCCGCCAGGCCATCGCCCGCCAGGCACTGTTCTGCACTGTGCTGCAGCCAACCCACAGCGGTTACCATGACTCCGTGTCCTTCCTGTTATATTTAGAGCGTTTTCCTACAGCCCCATATCAGGCCAAGCCAACCTCATATCGAGCTCGCACAATACACTTAAATCCCGGCTTGTTTTGAGTGTTTATGTTCTATGTCCTGGTTTAATATTCCGAACGTGTCAAGCGCGATTGCCTGACGTAGCATGCTGGGCACGCGATCAATGTCAGCGATAGCAAGCGTGCGCTAAGCAGAAGTGGCCGCATATTCGATTCGGGAATCACCTTATCGTATGCCCATGTAGATACATGTCAGGCAAGCAGCTTTCCAAGGATAGACATGTACCATTTCAGCACAGGTGAACGTGCGCGCAACAAAAGGATTATTGCAAGAATGCACCCCGGATTCTGCTGTAACGAGTGTCCAGTGCAGCAATGAAGAGAGGAGATCAGCCTTTGCGTGACAGAAATATTACTCTTTGGCCGGTTATTGAGGCGCTTCGACTTCAACCCTAACCCTGCAGCAATCAAGAGGGGGGCCAGCCTTTCCACAACATAGTTACGACTGAAAAGCTCTTGGTTGGCTAAGGAGGCGCGTCAATAGAGTGGCTAGTGCTGTGTGGAAGGGAGAAGCCCAGCTCGAGCCTTCCACTGTAAATCTCATCACGAAAAGGCCTTGGATGGGAGGACCTTATGGAAACACCACGTCAGCGGTGGCGTATGCGAGCCAGAAGGCCGTGGCGAGCACGTAGAGCGCTGCTGTGACAGCCAGCGCTGCATCATACTTTCATGGGAGTGGTTTCAATGTAAGGGTTTCAAAAGAGGCCCTTATGGAAACACCACGTCAGCGGTGGCGTATGCGAATGCGAGCCAGAAGGCCATGGCGAGCACGTAGAGCGCTGCTGTGACAGCCAGCGCTGCATCAGACTTTCATGGGAGTGGTTTCAATGTAAGGGTTTCAAAAGAGGCCCTTATGGAAACACCACGTCAGCGGTGGCGTATGCGAATGCGAGCCAGAAGGCCATGGCGAACACGTAGAGCGCTGCTGTGACGGCCAGCACTGCATCAGACGACCCGTCAGTAAGTGGATTCCGTGTTGTGATTCTCATAACACTGACTTGGATGGGACTTCAATGGAAAGCCCTCGAGGGAACGCCTCATGGGAATACCACGTCAGCGGTGGCAAATGCGAGCCAGAAGGCCGTGGCGAGCACGTAGAGCACTGCTGTGACGGCCAGCACCGCATGGAACGACCCCAGCATCTCCACCATGTAGCCTGTCGCCACCGTACTGGTGATTCCCGCTAGCGTGCCCGCTGTGTTGGACAGACCTGGCGGGAGAAGGGGGAGGACAGAAGGCGGAGAGCATGTGAAGCGCTGTTGTGACGGCCAGCACTGCATGGAAGGACCCCAGCTGCTCCACCATAAAACCCGTTGCCACCGTGCTTGTTATGCCCGCTAACGTGCCGGCTGTGTAGGACAGACCTGGCGGGTGGTGGGGTTGGGTGGGAGCAAGAGTGGTGATAAGTCGATCTCCCATGAATCCTGTCGCCACAGAGCTTGTTATGCCTGCTAGCATGCCCGCTGTAAGTCACAGACTGTTATGTTCTTGTTGTTTTTTTTGGCGGCTTAAAGGACTCTGCAGCACATTGTTGAGGCGCTTCTGAGCCGACTCAATTGTTGAAGAGCAGTTCACTTTTGAATTGTCGAACCCTGCTTTGTTGAATTCTCAGAAGCGCAGTGCATAGAAGAGTCAGTTTTTTATTTTTCTTTAAGGGGCCTCAAAGTATCAAGCGGCGCATTGCTACGGCATGACTCATTAGAGAGACAAGGCATTTGCTAGATGCACCTTCGTCGATGCAGCAGCAGCACGCTCCGAGCACTAGCAAGTCGCATTGAAGCAGAGCAACTCACCAGGAAAATACCGGCTTTGAGGGATTTCTTAAAGGTGACCTTATTGAAAACGCCTGAATTCCCCAAAACCTAAAAAATCACTCACAAGGACAACAACCCACAAAGAGCGACTCACCATGGAGGAGACCCACGTGGCGTGGCGCTATGTCCTATTGCAAAGAGGGCCGGAAGGGAACGGAATTGGGGAGAGAGGGGTTGGGGAGGAGATGGGGGTTAGATAGAGGTAGGCAGGTAGGTAGGTACATAGAGCGACGGAGATTGCAAAATAGAGGAAGGGGAGAGAGTGGGGTGTGAGAGGCAGAGAAGCAGCCGAAGCTGGGAGATGGGGAGAAGTTGAGAGGGAGAGAAACACTGAGCAAGCAGCTATGTTGAAATCACTTTTGAGAATTCTCAAAAGAGAAGCAGCAGAAGTTGGGAGATGAGGGAGAGAAACACTAAGCAAGCGGCGCAGAGAACAGGCACTTGCGCCCTGTAAGCATGGAACCGACGTGGCACGTCGTGATTGGTGGGAAGGAAGCAGGTTACAGGTGCGGAAGGCACTTGTTTTGTGGTTCAGCAAGCAAAAACTTCAAATGGCTGAAGTGAAGGCACTTGAGAAGCGAGCCAGGAGGTGAATGAGTGAGAAGGAGAGGGAGGGAGAGAAGGAGAGCGAGGGTGAGAAGGAGAGGGAGGGAGAGAAGGAGAGTGCTAGAGAGTGAGTGAAAAAAGGGAGAAGGTTTGAAGAGCACCCACCTTATGGTTGAGGAGCACCCACCTTATGGTTGAGGAGCCACCCACCTTATGGTTGAGGAGCACCCACCTTATGGTTGAGGAGCACCCACCTTATGGTTGAGGAGCACCCACCTTATGGTTGAGGAGCACCCACCTTATGGTTGAGGAGCACCCACCTTATGGTTGAGGAGCACCCACCTTGTGGTTGAGGAGCCACCCACCTTATGGTTGAGGAGCCACCCACCTTATGGTTGAGGAGCCACCCAGCTTATGGTTGAGGAGCCACCCAGCTTATGGTTGAGGAGCCACCCACCTTATGGTTGAGGAGCCACCCAGCTGATGGTTGAGGAGCCCCCACCTTATGGTTGAGGAGCCACCCACCTTATGGTTGAGGAGCCACCCACCTTATGGTTGAGGAGCCACCCAGCTTATGGTTGAGGAGCCACCCACCTTATGGTTGAGGAGCCACCCACCTTATGGTTGAGGAGCCACCCAGCTTATGGTTGAGGAGCCACCCACCTTATGGTTGAGGAGCCACCCACCTTATGGTTGAGGAGCCACCCACCTTATGGTTGAGGAGCCACCCACCTTATGGTTGAGGAGCCCCCACCTTATGGTTGAGGAGCCACCCACCTTATGGTTGAGGAGCCACCCAGCTTATGGTTGAGGAGCCACCCAGCTTATGGTTGAGGAGCCACCCACCTTATGGTTGAGGAGCCACCCACCTTATGGTTGAGGAGCCACCCACCTTATGGTTGAGGAGCCACCCAGCTTATGGTTGAGGAGCCACCCAGCTTATGGTTGAGGAGCCCCCACCTTATGGTTGAGGAGCCACCCACCTTATGGTTGAGGAGCCACCCACCTTATGGTTGAGGAGCCACCCAGCTTATGGTTGAGGAGCCACCCAGCTTATGGTTGAGGAGCCCCCACCTTATGGTTGAGGAGCCACCCACCTAATGGTTGAGGAGCCACCCACCTTATGGTTGAGGAGCCACCCAGCTTATGGTTGAGGAGCCACCCACCTTATGGTTGAGGAGCCACCCAGCTTATGGTTGAGGAGCCACCCAGCTTATGGTTGAGGAGCCACCCACCTTATGGTTGAGGAGCCACCCAGCTTATGGTTGAGGAGCCCCCACCTTATGGTTGAGGAGCCACCCACCTTATGGTTGAGGAGCCCCCACCTTATGGTTGAGGAGCCACCCACCTTATGGTTGAGGAGCCAGCCAGCTTGGCTGAACGCACTCAGGCCGAGAGCAGCAGTGAGGCAGAGGGCAGCGAGAGGGGCGGTGGACATGCGTGTGAGCAGCAGCAATGACGCAGCAGGACCCAGGAACCCAGCAGCCTGAAGGAGAAGGAGGGAGGTGGTGGAGACGAGAGCAAAGCGGGCGGTGTGTGGGGTCAGGTGTGTGTGCCCACAAATCGAGTAACAGCTGGAGGAGTCTGGGCATTTAGGTTTAAGGTCTTAGTATGTTTCCTTTTTACCTGAACTGACGAGATGTCACCCTCAACCCTACCCGAACTGACCCGGACCCATCACCTGCATGACTTTCCGCACGGCAGTGCGGGACATGCCCTGCGTGCGCTCCATCCGGTTCACCAGCCCTGCTGCCAGCAGCCCCATGCCCGCCATGACCGCCCATGGCCCCGCACTGAACCACGCTGCCTGGCGGATGTCCGTGTGCAGGACCTGGTGGGTGTGAGAGAGTGTGTGGGAGAGTGTGAGAAAGAGCGAATGGGAGAGAGGGTGTGACAGAGCGAGCATGTGGGAGAGAGGGTGTGACAGAGCGAGCATGTGGGAGAGAGGGTGTGACAGAGCGAGCATGTGGGAGAGCAGATCCATGCAGGAGCAGCGGAGAGGCCAGGCCATGTGTTCGAGATGAACTGCAGCTAAGTAGATGTATTCAGGAATGACCCACCTTGCACCCAGGAGCAATTAAATGCGCCTTAACATTGTTGGTTAACGGACGTCTTTTGAAAAGCCTAAAGAAACATGTTAAAAGACTGGAGTCTTTTAAACGGACGTCTTTTGAAAAGCCTAAAGAGACACGTTAAAGTGGCCCACCTGGTTGAAGTAGAGTGGCATCCAGGAGAGCAGAATGAAGTAGCCCTGGTGAGGGATGGGAAGCAAGCAAGGGGTGGGGAGAAGGGCGTGAGGAGCATTGGTGAGGAGCAAGGGTGAGAAGCAAGGGTGAGAAGCAAGGGTGAGAAGCAAGGGTGAGAAGCAAGGGTGAGGAGCAAGGGTGAGAAGCAAGGGTGAGAAGCAAGGGTGAGGAGCAAGGGTGAGAAGCAAGGGTGAGGAGCAAGGGTGAGAAGCAAGGGTGAGGAGCAAGGGTGAGAAGGGTGAGAAAAGAAGCAAAGACCATGAGCTAAGGATCATGATGTTGGTGGTGGCTGTGGTGGTGAAGTTCGGACAACGCTGTGAGCGACCCTTCTCACCCAGTTATTGACAGTGTTGGCGATGATGATGGCCCATGAAGCCGGGTGCGACAGCAGCTGCCACACCGTCACACGCGGCCCACTCTGCGTATTGTGCTTCCCTTCCAGCTGCCCGCCACTATCAGCACCAGAGGCAGCAGAAGCAATGGGCACAGCAGAGGCGTCTCCAGGCACGAGGAGAAGCCAGAGGGCGAGCCAGAGCAGGCCCAGCGCGCCGAAGAGCAGGAAGGGGCCCGTCACGCCCAGACCTGGTAGTGCCATGAGGGAAGGCGCAGAGAGCAGCCCCACCATGCTGCCCACGTGGAAGCCCGCGAAGCACATCCCCACCGCCCACGCCCGCCTCTGCTCTGGCACATAGCTGGGGTTGGAGGATGGAAGACGGGGGACAGGGAAGAGGGGCAAGCGAGCGGGTGGTGTGAGCAGCAGCCCCACCATGCTTCCCACGTGGAACCCCGCGAAGCACATCCCCACCGCCCACGCTCTCCTGCTCTCTTGCACGTAGCTGTTTGGTTCAGTGTGGGGGGGTTGGGGGACGGGGGAGGGGGTATAGAGGGAAGAAGAATGAGGAGTAGCCAGAGCGCGAGCCAAAGCAGGCCCAGCACACCGAAGAGCAGGAAGGGGCCCGTCACGCCCAGACCAGGCAGAGACAGCACGTGCAGTCAACAGGGCAGCCAGGGAGTGTGCTGCAACAGAGGGAGTGAGCATTGTTGCGGCCAGAGCGCCAGCCCTGCTGCCAGCACAGGAGGGGCACTTATAACCTGTTCTTACCGTGACACCATGTGGTTCATGCAGGGTAGGGCGACGCCTTCGCCCAAACCCATGACAGCGCGCACAGTTAGCAGAGCACCCAGGGAGTGCGCTGCAGCAGTGGGCGTGAGCAGTGTAGCGAGCGACCAGAGCGCCAGCCCTGCTGCCAGCACGGGCCGGCCGCCGTAACGGTCGGCGAGCGACCCCCCGATGATGGGCGTGATGAGATAGCCCCATAGGAACGAGGACTGGGGGGGGATGGGAGAAGGAGTTGGAGGGGAAGGAGGGCATAGTTGGGAAGGAGGGGGAAGGGGGAGAAGATGGGGTTGAGATGACGGGCGTGATGGGATAGCCCTGCTGCCAGCACGAAGCGGCCGCCGTATCGGTCGGTGAGCGAACCCCCGATGATGGGCGTTATGAGATAGCCCCATAGGAACGAGGACTGGGGGGGATGGGAGAAGGGGAAGAGAGTTGAGCAAAAGGCGGCAACAGGGGTGGGCGGGCTAAGACGGGATTAAAGACCCCCCGATCATGGGCGTTATGAGATAGCCCCATACGAACGACGACTGGGGAGGGGAGGAGAGGGGAAGGGGGAAGGAAGAAAAGGACGGGGGCGTGATTTGCGTGGACTTAAAGACGTTCTATGATGGGCGTTATGAGGTAGCCCCATAGGAACGAGGACTGTGGGGGACGGGGAAGGAGGGGGGGGGCATGGGCCAAGGGGAGGCATGCGGCGGAAATATTTGATTCGACTCAAAAGAAGCCTCTCTGCAAGGTGCCAGCGATACTGGGCGGCCAGCCGTTGGATGGAAAGAGCACCAGCGGCGGCGTCAGCAGCGCTTCTGTGCTTATAGTCCCCCCACCTAAACCCCTAAACCCTTTTGTCCCTTCCTGCCCTCCCTTCCCAACCTCCTTCCCATCACCTGCACGATGCCCGCGACGCTGGGCGGCCAGCCGTGGGATGCGGAGAGCAGCAGCGGCGCCAGCAGCGCTTCTGTGGTTATGATCCCCTTTCCTGCCACCCTCCCCTTCCCCCATTCTCTCTTTCATGCCCGTTCCCCCCTCTCCCCTCACCTGCACGATGCCCGCGACGCTGGGCGGCCAGCCGTGGGATGCGGAGAGCGGCAGGATGGCGACGGACATGATCACGCGGTCCGCGTTGCACAGCACCAGCGCCGCCGCCACCAGCGCCACCATCGCCGGCACCGCCACTGGCGCCGGCACCGCCACCGCTGCTGCTGCTGCTGCTGCTGGCGGTGCTGCTGCAGCAGCTGCTGGTTGTGATTCATGTGCTGCTGCTGTGGCTGCTGCTGGTGGCGCCGCTGCTGCTCTGTCCGACCCTCTTCCTGATTCCGAAGCACTAGCTGCCACGTCAGCGGGTCCGTTTCTTGCCTCGGGTGCTGCAGTTGCCACTGCGTTTGAAGATATGGCCGCCTCGTCTGGTTGGCTGCTCGAGTGTACCGCGTCCGTACAATCGCCGTTTGAATCAGGCGATCCAACGGCTGCTGCTGTTTTTCGGCAGTTTCTAGGTCGCCGTCGGTTTTGGAATGAGCAGACGCTAGAGATCGCGACAGACAGGCCGAAGGGTATGGAGTTGGTGAAACAAGCGCGTGAAACGCTCGAATCGGACACCTTTTTCCGTGATGTGCGGCGACTACCATTCTCACGGCGGTTTGTGCTGAAGCTAGAGCAACTCGCGGCGTGGTTTGCGGCCGGTTTGTCGTTGCGCGTCGAACAGGCCGGCGCGGCGAGCGTTAAGAGCGCGTTTCCCGCGACAGCTGGCATGACGGCGACCATCGATATTGCCGCGTCGTGATGGGAACAGTGAGCAAAACAGTGCTATTATACGGCCCGATCGGGTCTAGTCCCGTCCGATTCGGTCTGATCTGGTCTGATTCAGCGGTGGGGCGCAAGGGTGGAATTTGAGGGGCGGCGGCGAGATCGAGGCGCAGTCAATGGAACAGAAACCCGCTATAGGATACGAGAGGGTTGTGGGTACAAAGCTCGGGTTTGCAAAACGGAATACTGATGCCGCTGGCTAGCTAAACGAAGATTCCTCAAATTAGCCACACGAAATTGTTTCATGGCGACATAATTTGTTCCATGTAATATACAGCAGATAGAGAGATAAAACATGCACAACAAAATTCAGGGCAAGAGAGACAAAAACAAACACACAAAATGCTGCAACTGCCTTGTTCTACTGCCACGTAAACAACTAAACACGTTGCAAGAGGTCGTTGGGGCCATTTGGCTGATCAATAGCCGCCAGCTTCATCGTCGCATTCACAAACCTTCCCTTCACACCCGTGCTCGCATACTGCATCAGCGCCACCAACGCATTGTATCCAGCACTGGCAGCAAGGGCCTCCGGGGTCAACCCCACAAAGCTCCAGCTTTGAGTGGCGTTGAGAACAATGACAGACGTGCAGTTGAGATCGCACGGATGGACGTTGCTGTAGAGAAAGAACCACGCAGAAGTGACATTGGGCTGCGGCGACGGCGGGGGAGGAAGCGTGTCACCATCGTCGTCGCAACACTCGTCATCATCCCCACCCTTCTTCCCCTTCCCCTTGCCCTTTCCGTTGTTGCACTTGGGCTTGTCTTTCCCCTTCACCTTGCTCTTGTCCTTGTTGTTGCTCTTCTCCTTCTTCTTGGCATCGCACCCTCCGCCGGTGGGGGGCGGGGGCGGTGGAAGGGCATCGAGTGTGTAGACGGTGAGGGAGACGGTGATGGGCTCTTCAGTCGGAACCACCACGGCAACAACGAAGCTCGCCTGGAAGGACAGCCCATCAGCGCTGTGATTGAGGGGGACACGAAATTGGAAAGAGGAAGGAAAGAGGAAGAAAAGAGGAAGAAAAGAGGAAGGCGAGATATAGGAGAGCTGTTGAGTTCCAAGCGACAGAGAGGGAGACGGTGATGGGCTCCTCTGTGGGTTCCACCACGGCAACAACGAAGTTCACCTGGAAGGACAGCCCATCGGCACAATGGGGGTGGGGTTGGAGAGGCGGGGGAGACACGGAGACACACGAGGAGGAAGGTGGAAGGAAGGCGACAAGTCGTGGTCAGTTGTCGAGTCATTAGCCGACAACATGGCGGGGGATTGGGATCGGGCCTGAAGTATGACTCAAGCGAGGAACGGCACCGCAGTTATTGTGTCGGAAGAGGGGATTGGACGATGGGAGTGACTCACGACTGCGAGAGGGAGAGGTTGGCCCCGCCTGGCATGTAGGAGAGGAAGCGGACCACGTATTGCGGGCTCGGCACCAATGCAGGGATGGGGGCAACTTCCACTGCAGAAAGAAGCAGAGGGAAGTGGGGAGACAGTGAAAGGGAGGGTGTGGAAGGGCAGGCAGAGGTGCGAGGTTAGGAGTTCATCAAGGGATAAGAGCATTGAAGGAGATGCAAGCTTGAGGTACGAGCACAAAAGAAAAGCGCCGAAGAAATACACGCATGTGAGAAAGAGATGTTACCCCCACCCAAAGACAAGCAATCAGAATGATTTTTTACCCCCACCCAAGCCACCCCCACTTACGGAACTTCTTCGCGGCATCGGCGCGGAGTTGCGCCATCACCAGGCGCAGGGCGCCCTGCGCGTCCTTATGCGCCATGACCACCCCGGGGAACACCAGCGAGCTGTCAATCAGCTGCAGCAGCGCTATCCGCACTCCTCCCCACCCCCCCCCTTCCCCCCAAACACCACTTACGGAACTTCGTATTGGAATCGGCACGAAGCTGCGCCATCACCGGTCTCATCACTCCTTGACCGTCCTTATACGCCATGACCACCCCGGGGAACACCAGCGAGTTATCTATTAACTGCAGCAGCGCGCTGTAGCGCTCGGGGTCCGTGACAGGGCTGCTGGTGAAGGTGCCAATGGCCTGCCACACGGACGGCACGGGCTGCACCCACGTGGGGGCGGCTGGGGGGAGGCTGCACTTGGTCGGGTCGCATCTGGGGACGGTTGTGCCTGCTAGGGTTATGTAGACGGGCGGGCCTGCAGGGAGAGCGGCGAAGATCTTGTAGGTGGCTTGGATGGTGGTGGTGGTGGTGTCGAAGCTGGATGTGGGTAGGGGGGGGGGAGGAAGAAAGGGTTTGGGGATGAAAATGGGGAAGATGGGGGGAGAGCGGGGTAAGAAGAGGGGGAACGGGGATAAAGGAAGGGGAGAGCTGCGAAGATCTTGTATGTGGCTTGGATGGTGGTGGTGGTGGTGTCGAAGCTGGATGTGGGTAGGGGGGGGAGGAAGAAAGGGTTTGGGGATGAAAATGGGGAAGATGGGGGGAGAGCGGGGTAAGAAGAGGGGGAACGGGGATAAAGGAAGGGGAGAGCTGCGAAGATCTTGTATGTGGCTTGGATGGTGGTGGTGGTGGTGTCGAAGCTGGATGTCGGTAGGGGGGGGGAGGAAGAAAGGGTTTGGGAATGAAAATGGGGAAGACGGGGGGAGAGCGGGGTAAGAAGAGGGGGAACGGGGATAAAGGAAGGGGAGAGCGGCGAAGATCTTGTATGTGGCTTGGATGGTGGTGGTGGTGGTGTCGAAGCTGGATGTGGGTAGGGGGGGGAGGAAGAAAGGGTTTGGGAATGAAAATGGGGAAGACGGGGGGAGAGCGGGGTAAGAAGAGGGGGAACGGGGATAAAGGAAGGGGAGAGCTGCGAAGATCTTGTAGGTGGCTTGGATTGTGGTGGTGGCGAAATCGAAGTTGGATGTGAGTGGGGGCAGGGGAGGGGGGTGGAGAAATACGGGGGAAGATGGGGGGGGAAGGGGGTAAGAAGAGGGGTGGACGAGGAACGGGGATTAAGGAAGGGGATGGTGGGGCAATTTGATTTACAGTGAAAGAATCTAAAGTACATACACCCTAAATTGCAGTGAAGAAGAGATGATGGGTGGCGATGAGGCGATGGGTGGCGAGGAGGCGAGCGAGGCACTCACTTGACGTAGAGGTAAACGACAGCTCGCGACTCGCCGTCTACGAGCTCCGCAAAGCGATACGCATCTGCTCGTCCATGGGGGAGACGATGGGGGCGATGGCGGAGAGTGAGGGAGAGTAACGAAAGGGACTCGCCGTCTACGAGCTCCGCGAAGCGATACGCATCTGCGCTTCCATGAGGGTGGGGACGATGGGAATGGGAAAGGTCGGAACAATGACAACGCACGAGAATTGTTCCCAAGAGGGGGCGACAAAGCAAGTGAGACGGAGGAAAGTCACACTAAAGTTTCGAACGTGTCAAGAAAAAAAGCACACAGAAGTGAGAAAGACTGGAGAAAGGAGCGACAGAGAGCGAGGGACGCGAGCGAAAGCTGTGGTCACGACGGTTCAGCGAGGCAACTTTCGAGAATCCAAAATAGCTGGCCGGCCCAGTGATACAATTGTTTAGACTTTGAAAACAATTGGTCGGTCATGGGGAGTCATGGGGAGCCATGGGGAGCCATCTCAATCTCAAAATGGTGAACATCTCGATGGCTTCGCGGGCTCGGAAGCTGCGGTCGCATGCGTATTCGCATGCGCGAGGAGCGGGAATCAATCTATTATAAGAAACCAGCGCCGGACGGCGAGCGCCACGCGCCGAGCGTCGAGTGCAAAAGACGACGAGCGCCGCACGTACCGGCGGCAGAGGCGGCGACGGACGGCGCCAGTTGACTGACCGCGATGACGACAGCTGCGACTCGGAACGAGTGGAAGGGGGGGCGGGGGGTGGAGGGTGCGGAGAGAGAGAGGGATGAGAAGTGGGGGAGAGATATAGGGTGGGAGAGAGGGAGAGAAGAAATGAGAGGGGTGGGAAGTTTGGAGCATAATCTACGAAATCGTGGGGTTGCTGTTTTTGGCCTCCACGTGGGCTCCACGTGGGCTCCACGTGGGATCCACACGAGCACTCGCGGCGTGGGAGAATGAGTGGGATGAGACTACTCATAATTCGCTGCAGAGCAGAAGTAAAAAGAGGATAAAAAAAACACCCGCTTAGAGCACGCACCGCCGATCACGAGGAGCAGCGGGAGCGAGCTTGAATTCGCAAGTGGCCGCAGCCGCCGCCGCCGGAAACGCAGGTTCGAGGGCGTCGCCATGAAGGTACGGACACCGAAAGCACTGTGTTATGACAACGGTGACGATACGGCTTGTGTCGTTTGTTGTTGTGCCGCGCGGTGGCTGTTGTGAACGTCGTAAACGTCGTGAACGTCGGTAATGTCGTGAACGTAACGTAGTACCTTACTGAATCAATTAATCGTCTCAATCTGAACTATTAACGAGAACGCCAGTGCCCTGTCGCCGGACACATACCACATTCGGGGCAACTTAAATCTGTCTGGGCCGAATGGTGTCACACGCTATGGCGGACGCAGGGAGGTGTGCTTTGAACGAGATGGTGCCTATCTAGTCAAGAATCATCCCGTCGCGTGTGAACCTGAACACAAATATCGTTTTTCATACGAGACGACAAAGGTCCTTACCCAGCCCAGATACCAGCTGAAAGTCCATTTCGCCTGACCCTTTGGATTTGAAGTGAGTCGGGCCAACCCTTCTGCTGGCATCGCCTGGCAGTGTCCCTGGAAGTGGATCGTGCATGCGCTCAGCAAGAAGGGTGTGGGGAGAAACCAGAAACGGAGCGGGAGGGAAGTTGGGGGAATGGCGCGACGGACGAGGAGGGGACGACATGACGGGGGGAAAAGGAGAGGGTGGTGGGGAAGGGGGAGGAAAATGGTGCGGTCTACGCAGTCAACCGGGCAAGAAAAGGAAGAACGGGCAACGGGGAGTGGGTGGCGGGGAGAAGAATGTGGAGCAAGTCGGCGGAAATGTAACCGCAAAATGCGGTACGTACGCGGACAGGAAAAGGTTGCGGGAAATTTGGATTCTTGCTGCGCGAACTCGCGACCCGGTTTCTGGGATGCTTGACGCTTGACTAGCTGTGCTGTGCTGGTTGCAGCATCACCGTCAGCTGTGGATTGTGCTGAGTGGACTCCTTGGCACAGATAAAAAATCAGGTTTACATAAACCCAAAAGGATATGCTGTCACATCCTACAATATCAACCACCACTTGCAGTGCTTTAGACACTAGACCCCATAAAATGAATGAATAGATGTTAAAGAACACTAGCATCCTCGTCGACAAATCGTGCCTTAATGTTTTGGAGAACCGCTGCAATCTTTGTGGCATCTGCTCGTACAATATCATCACACCCGCCATGGCTAAGAACGAGATGATAGACGAGCGACGATGCATATGCTAGATGATTGTAGCAGGTGACAGGACATCCATCTGGTCTGATTTCCAAAACAGAGGCCTTTTCCGGCATGAAGATGAGGTTTGTGAGTGCCGCCCCATGGCCTGCTATGAAGAGACTGTGCGCCGAAACAACTCTCGAGCTGCATGGGAGATCAGGGGAGGGGGAGGGAAGAGGGGGAGGGGATAGGTATGGGAAGGTGCATTGGGAGAGAAGGGAAGAGACGTGCAGAATGGAGACAAATAAAGAGGGAGAAGAGATTGGGGAGCAGAGGGCATGAGATGAACATTAAGGAGAAGATTTGGGAACAGCGAACAAGAGAAATAGGGGATAAGAATAAGCTGCTCCACTACGGAGCACAATATTCTGGCATCACAGCAACAGATCAGCAACGACAACAAGCCGGTGATCTTCGTTCAAAATTGCTTCAGAGGCAGGATACGCTCAGCACTCACATCAGACCATATCACATCAGATTACAACTGCACCGCACCTTCCAGCACAGACATTGAGCCGGTGAACTTCACAATCCTCTCCTTAGCAAACGTCCTCTCCACCACCTCCTCAAAGTTACTAATGGATCGCTTCTTGGCGGGTCGCTTCGCCAGCACCACCACCCAGTCGGGAGGCAGCGCCTGCGCCTGCTGCGGTGACAGCGGTGGTGGCGGTTGGTAGGACCAGTCGGGGCGGAAGAGAGGCAGCCCGCGCGGTTGCAGCAGGTGGGTTCGCCTGAGGGATTTCCAGAGGGCTTTAGAGGGGCTGCCACAGGTCTGGGCGATGGGCTGAAACGGGGGCGAAAGGACGGGAACGAGGAAGAGGGGAAGGGGGAGAGAGGGGGAGTGTGTGGAGGAAGGGAGGGAAGGCCTTGAGTACACCCTGAGTGGAGAGGAGGCAGCCCGTGCGGGTGCAGCAGGTGGCTTTGTCCAAAGGGGTATCATGCAGTAGCGCAGGCTTACCTCGTAGAGCGTTTCGACAAAGAAGAGATCCTGAGCTACAAGAGGCAGCACACGCATGTGCTCGTACTCGATGCCTATAAGGGGCTCCCCAAACTGCTTGTACACCTCCCACTGGGAAGGAGGGAGGGGGGAAGAGCGGAAGAGGAAAGGTATAATCAGGTATGAGCCATGAGAGGCAGCACACGCATGTGCTCGTACTTGATGCCTATAAGGGGCTCCCCAAACTGCTTGTACACCTCCCACTGCAAGGCAGAGGGACGGGCGGAAGGGTGAAAGATATCATCCGGTATGAGCCATGAGAGGCAGCATGTGCATGTGCTCGTACCAGCGGCCTATGGGCGTCTCTCCAAACTGCTTGGTCACTGATGGGACGGGGGATGAGTGGGAGGAGTATACAGGCTTTACCTGTAAATTTGTTGAACCCACCTGCATGAGGCTGGCGAGGATGGGGGTGGAGGGCATGATGCGCTGCAGCAGCGGTGCAGAAAACATGCACGCGAGAATGTAAGAGGCATGTACACTGCATGCTTTCAATGTCAATTCGTTGAACCCACCTGCATGCGGCTGGCGAGGATGGGCGTGGAGGGCATGATGCGCTGCAGCAGCGGTGCAGAAAACATGCACGCGAGAATGTAAGAGGCATGTACACTGCATGCTTTCAATGTCAATTCGTTGAACCCACCTGCATGCGGCTGGCGAGGATGGGCGTGGAGGGCATGATGCGCTGCAGCAGCGGTGCAGAAAACATGCACGCGAGAATGTAAGAGGCATGTACACTGCATGCTTTCAATGTCAATTCGTTGAACCCACCTGCATGCGGCTGGCAAGGATGGGCGTGGAGGGCATGATGCGCTGCAGCAGCGGTGCAGAAAACATGCACGCGAGAATGTAAGAGGCATGTACACTGCATGCTTTCAATGTCAATTCGTTAAACCCACCTGCATGCGGCTGGCGAGGATGGGCGTGGAGGGCATGATGTGCTGCAGCAGCGGCGCCGCGACGAGGAGCAGCGGCATGGTCTCTGCAACGAAGTGGTAGAAGTTGAATCCGTATGAGTTGCTCCATGTGAAGGCCGCTGGTAGCAAATGCACCTGCTGCTGTGGTGTGAAGGATACCTGAGGAAAAGAGGGGGGTGAGGAGAGAAGGGGATGCGGAGAGGGACTGAGAAGAGGCGACGAGGAGCAGCGGTGGGGTCTCCGTGACGGATGAAGTGGTAGAAGTTGAATCCATACGAGTTGCTCCACGTGAAGGCCGCTGGTAGTACATGCACCTGCTGCTCTGCTGAAAATGATATCTGTCGGGGTGGAGAGGGAGGCGGAGGGACAGAGGGGAGAGGGGATAATAAGAGGCGATGAGGAGCTGGGTGCGACAAGTGGTAGAATCTGAATCCATAGGAGTTGCTCCACGTAAAGGCCGCTGGTAGCACATGCACCTTCTGCTCTGCTGAAGGGGGGGCGGAGAGGAAGTGGTAAGAAGAGGCAACGAGGTGATTTCCACGGTGAAGAGATCAAACTAAAGCCAGAGGAGTTGCCTCATACCACATTCTGTACCCATCCTCCACTCACATGCCCACTCAACCCCTCCATATCCCTCCCCTTCCTCCCCACACCCCCTTCTTCTGCCCATGACTCCTGCCTTTACTCGTTTCCTGCACACCCGTTGTTCGTCCCGTGCACGCCCGTCACCTCAAAGCACAGCAGAATGCATGCATAAACATGCATACCAGACCTACCAGGCCTACCAGACCCACCAGACCTACCAGGCCTACCAGACCCACCAGACCTACCAGGCCTACCAGACCCACCAGACCTACCAGGCCTACCAGGAATGTCAGGGACAGTGAGCCTCATTCAAAACCTCTCACCTCATTGAACCTGCCACAGCCGGGCCGCACGAATCTATGTGTGCGGTTGAACACGTAGCCCTTGTCCGTCACATACGCGCCCTTCACCTCAAACATCTGTAGTGCCATGGCGTCCCGCGTGTTAAAATCCTCCCTGTGCGAGCACGTCTCATCGTACCCATCCGATATATGCTTCCTCGTGCGTGGATCCAACCCTGCTGAGGCGTTTCTTTTCGGGCAGTTCACGGGCGGGTCCAGGGAAACCCGGACCGGGTCGACCAGGTCCGGGTTCCAGCAGGCGCGGAGGTTCGGGAAGGCCGGACCGCAGGAGGTTAGGGCGGGACACGTGTCGCCGTGGCAGTGGGCGAGAGTGCCCCAGTGCGTGTCGTGCTCGTGGTACTGTAGCAGCACGATTGGCTGATTGGAGGAGTTGTAGGCAAAGCCAAGGGGTTCGACAAAGAGATTGGTTCTCTCTGGATGGTTCCTGAGGGGGGGGGGTGGGGGGGGGGGGGGGGGGGGGGGGGAGAAGGAGAGGGGAGGGAGAAAAGAGTTGTGTGTGTCGTGCTCGTGGTACTGTAGCAACACAATTGGCTGATTGGAAGAGTTGTAGGCAAAGCCGAGGGGTTTGACGATTAGATTGGTTCTCTCTGGATGGTTCCTGGGGGGGGGAGGAGAGGAGAGGGAGAAAAGAGTTGTGCGTGTCGTGCTCGTGGTACTGTAGCAGCATGATTGGCTGATTGGAGGAGTTATAAATGAAGCCGAGGGGTTCAACGAAGAGATTGGTTCTCTCTGAATGGTTCCTGGGAGTGAGAGATTGAGAAAAGTGCATGACAGGGAGAGGACGAGGGGACAGATGGAAGAGAGAATTTGGCTAAGAAGGGTGAGGGCCTCTGATAAAGAGATTAACATAGTAGTATGGCAGATCGCCTGATACGAAGCACGCTCGCCTGATACGAAGCACGCTCGCCTGATACGAAGCACGCTCGCCTGATACGAAGCACGCTCACCTGATACGAAGCACGCTCACCTGATACGAAGCACGCTCACCTGATACGAAGCACGCTCACCTGATACGAAGCACGCTCACCTGATACGAAGCACGCTCACCTGATACGAAGCATGCTCACCTGACAGGGAGAGGCACGTAGAACTGTAGCTGGGCTTCAAACGCCTTCACGTGCCCCACCAGCTGCAGCTGCCTCCGATTATCGCTGCTGTCGCTCGCATCCGTGCCACTGCCATGATGGGTGGATTTCTGAGTCGACCAGGAAACCAGCTGCCTCCGATTATTGCCGCTGTCGCTCGCAACCTTGCTATTCCCATGATGGGTGGATTTCTGAGTCGACTGAGAAACCAGCTGCTTCCGATTACTATTGCCGCTGTCGCTCGCATCCTTGGCGTGATGACCGCTGCCGTGCCGACTGTCGACGATGACAGGTTTAAGGCGATGGGGAATGTCGGCCTGGAGAGAGAAGGAGGCGGGAAAGAGGGATTGCGACGAAGACGATTTGGAAAGGATGGAAGCAGACAGTTTGGTTCACTTCGGGAGTCGGGAGTCGGGACTCGGAACGGAATCGGAACGCGGGATCTGGGAGCAAAGCTGCTGCAGACGATATGAGGTGTCACCTCATCCCAATGGCCCTTCATGGGCCGGATCCGCCTGCTTTCGTTGGCCTGATCAGCCCGAACGGCCCGAATCGCAAAGTGAAACTGCCGTAACTGGAAGGTAGGTAGTTCCTGTACCCCATAAGAGAACTCTCAGAAACTAAACCTCCCGTAATCTACTGCGCTTGGCAAGTCCGATCTGGTTGCTAGCAATTATGCTAGAATAACGAATAAAGAGGTACTAGGTACCTCAGGAAACTTGAAACATTCTAGGCACAGGAACCTATGGCATGATTGCAGTGTTTTCGTCCTAGCTAGCCCTTTCCCAGCATTCTGCAGACCCAAGTGCTTGCAAATGGGCAATTAGGAACGTTCTTCCATCAATATGCACAAAGAATGCGCTTGACATTTGCTAGTGCAGGCTAGTAGTTTTTAGGAGGGTATGTAACAGCACATGTCCAGATAAGGTCCACGTCAGATTCGACAGTGACAGTTGGCGCAACAACAAGGTTCGACGTGCTGACAAGGCCACCAAACCGCATTGGTGTGTTAGCTGGTGGGGAGGGGAAAATACATGGGAGGGGGCCAGCATGGAGCAAAGGAGGGAAGAGGGATATGAGGGCGGACGCAACGAGAGGGGAGCAGGAGGAGAGAGGGAGGAGAAAGAGGAAAGAGAGGGTAAGAAAGGGAGGGAGTGAGGAAACAAGTAGACAGGTTGTGAGATTGTATGCAACATCACTTACACAAATTCCAGCTCAGTCCAGTTGTCGTGGTCCCGTGCGACAGCTCCCCCACGGGAATCAACCCACAGTGGGGCCCCTCATGCTGCTATATCTGCTGAAACAGGTACCCCAAACCACCGCACACCACTACGCACCACTTCACACCACTCACATAGATTCCATCTCAGCCCGGTTGTTGTGGTCCCATGCGACGGCTCCCCCACGGGGATCAACCCACAGTGCCGCCCCTCATGCTGCTATACCGGCTGAAACAGGTGTCCCAAACCACTGTACACCACTACGCACCACACCACACCACTCACATAGATTCCATCTCAGCCCGGTTGTCGTTGTCCCATGCGACGGCTCCCCCACGGGGATCAACCCGCAGTGCGGCCCCTCATTTTACCATAGCTGCTACAACAGGTGCTCAAACCACTACGCACAGCTTCACACCACACCATACCACTCACACAGATTCCATCTCAGCCCGGTTGTCGTTGTCCCATGCGACGGCTCCCCCACGGGGATCAACCCGCAGTGCGGCCCCTCCCACCGCGGGTGGGGCGTGATGACGTGGCGCCAGCCAGCTGGCAGCAGGAACAGCTGGCAGTCCTCCGACAGCAGCACGATGCTGACGTGGCGGAACCGGTGAAGCACGTTCACGTTTCCGAACTCGTGGTCCATGCGGCCGCCCAGCGACCCCACCACTATCACTCTCTGGTCCGGCCGAACCACCTTGGCTGGGAGGAGGGCTCTTGGCTGTGGTTGGTCCGGCCGAGGCAAAGCAGGAGGTTCGGGTTTAGGTTCGGATTGGGAGAGGATTTTACTGTGTGGTTGTTGGGCAAGTGCAGATGAGGGCTGTTCTGCTGCAGAATTGAGAGAATGAGACGAAGTTTCTGGGTATAGAGCAGCGTTGACTGTAGATTCTGTGTTGTTGGTGCTGGCAGTGGTGGCAGTGGTGGAAGGGGTTTGGGCAGCAGCAGTGGAGTCGGAGAGAGGAGGAGGAGAAGGTGTAGGAGGAGGGATGGCGGAGGGAGTGACGGAGCTGGCGTGGCCGGTGTCGAGCAGAATCCGGTTGATGCACTTGTGCAGGTCTGTGGTGTCCTGGTCCTTGCTCATATCCACTATCTCCGCTCCCTGTGGGGAGAAAAAACAGAGGAGGAATGAGCGGAAGGAGGAGACGGAGCAGGTGTGGGGAGAGGGGAAGGGATAGGAGGGATACAGTTGATGCACTTGTGGTGTCCTGATCCTTGCTCATATCCACTATCTCTGCTCCCTACCTGTGTGGGGATAGGAGGCACCGGAGAAATCGGGGGGAGGGGGAGAAGGAGCAGGGGGGGAAGGAGGAAGAGGAGGAATAGGGATGCTAGCGGATGCACTTGTGCAGGTCGGTGGTGCCCTGATCCTTGCTCGTATCCACTATCTCTGCACCCTGTGGGGGGAGACAAGGCACAGGAGGGATGGGAGGAGGAGGTGAAGGCGCAGGGGCGAAGGAAGGGAATGAGGAACAGGGATGCTAGCGGATGCACTCGTGCAGGACTGTGGTGTCCTGATCCTTGCTTATATTTACTATCTCTGCACCCTGTGTGGGTGGAGAAGAGCACAGGAGGAATGGGGAGAAGACTGACCAGCCAGAGCCACTCCCACACACCCAAGAATGCAGCAGGAGAAGCAAGAGAATGAGCCGTGACACTTGCAAAATTGTCGGATGAGGCGTGGCACATACCAGCTGTTTGTAGAAGGCGAGCACTTGGGGGCGCGCCGAGTCCAGATCGCCCTTGATTATGTGCGGCACGAACCTGGGGGGAGGGAGAGGGGGTGGGGGAAGGGGTGAGGGGGGAAGAGAAGGAGAGGGGGAGGAAAATGGGGGTGGAGTGAATGATGTGGAGGGCCAGAGAAGATAATACGAATGTGGCAGCAGAGCATGGTATGGGGCAGGGGGGGCAGCAGGGGGGCGGGGGGGGGTTGCGCACCTTCGTCTGACGTCATCAGGGTCCTCCCCCGGGAACATTCCTGGAAGCTCGTCGTACAGGCGGTTCACTCCGCCATCCGCGCACAGCCGCAACGATCCCGCTGGTAGGGGGAGAATAAAGCGGGGAGGGGGGAGAGACGGGGAGATCATGGGGAGAAAACGGGGGAGAAAAGGGAGAAGGAAGAACAAGGGGAGCTGGGAAAAGAGAAAGGGACGTGGACTGTTCTGCTGCTGCGGGTTACGACCAGAAGCTGCGCTGATCGCGTGTGCAGTGAACAGCTCAGCTCGGCGCGCAGCTCTTCGGCATTGGCGAAGCGTCAACGAGCGACCGCTTCTACTCGGTAACCCTATTCGCCTAGTTGTCGAGACAAGATATCGTTTGCGGGGAGAGCAGCGACGCGGCGCACCTTGCTGCCAGAGGATCGGCGTGAAAAGCGGGAGCTTGAAGTTCAAGATGACTAGAGACGTATTTGGTTGGGCTTTAATCTCCTCGCGCTTCCCGTCGACGATCGCAAGATCCGATTCGTGGAGGACATAGTCGCTGACGTGGACAGCTTCTGGGAGCGAACTCGAAAACTCGGCTAGAGCAGCCGCCGCCGCGGCGCATCCGCTAGTGTCACGTCGCATGGCGGAGGGGCTTCGCGGGGAAGGCGTGCGGGGAAGCCGCCAGAGTGGGGTAGCGGAGGGTGCGACTGTGGAGGAAAGGCGTGGCGTTGGCGCTGCATACGCGGAATGCGCTACATACGGGGAACGCGCGGAGAGCGGAACCCCGCGCGGTTGTGCGGAGGCGGTGACTTTGCGCGATGAACCACGCACGCTGGTGGTTCCGAGTCTAATTGTCGCGACTGTCGCCGTGCTGGTTACCACTTTCGTTCGGCTGATGGTGGCTGTCTTGGGCGACGAGAGAACGATGCGGCGAAACTCGTCAGCGAGAGTGCGAAAGGCGGAGAGGTTGGAGCGGCGAGAGCAGAGGCATAGATGAAGCATAGTGTAAGCGACCCACCTAAAGCGTATGACGACACTGTTGATGCCAGTGGCTAAGTGACGCCCCTTCAACTAAGTGACGCCCCTTCGGCTAAGTGACGCCCCTTTGCCTAAGTGACGTCCCCCGCAATACTGACCATTCAAGCGCAATATACACCTATCAAGGTGAAAAATGATTATCTCATGTCTTTCGCCCAGCTGTCAGGGAAATGTACACCCCCGAGCAATGCAACACATCATAGCAAGTGAGGCCATTTTTCGCCAAGAATTCATCCTGTCTCATTTATTTCAATTTCCTTGTTCGTTATTTTATTTCTGTGCGCTTCTCTACACTTAGCACCGTGCTGGACAGATGTTTCGGGTTTACAGTATCGGGTATGACGCGCCAAGGGGATGCAAAACGTTTTCTGAGCGGGAGGTAAGGTACAATAAAGTAGGACGACACCTGAGTCGCTCGCGACTCCATCAGATGGGCTCTGCCCAGGGCTAAAGTTAGGCTTTTCGCCAACTCGGACGTTTTGGCTCCCTTCCAAAAAGGCCCTGAAAACGCAGGGTCGGCCTAAAAACCGCTCGTAAAAATCAGGGCTGGCCTAAAAAATCCTCGTTTACGTAATTCGATAGTTCCGCGTCAATAAGGACTTCTTTCTGACAAAAGCTGATGCTGAAACACTCTGTTGGTGCACTTATCCTCCTTTTGTGTGGAACTCTGCTCACAGAGAGCGATAGAGTATAGGTGCCTTTGACTAAGGAACAGAGGGGCGGGAGGGAACATTCACAAGTCCAGGAAGCGCGGGGAGAAGTCTACCTGTGTTGGGGAGGGGACGAGGTTGGGGGTGGTTAGAACCTTAGAAAAAGGTTCCGAGTCCTTCGAGGGATGACTCGTATTCACCAGAGTCAGTCCTGGAAGTGCTCGGATTCAGTCAGGGTTGGCCGAAAAATTCTCCTGTAAAAATCCGAGTTCGGCTGAAAAATACCTAGGATTTTCAGTCAAGAACGAGCATTTACCCTGATAGCCTGAGCCCTGGCTCTGCCTGAACCCACCTGGGCAGACACATGAAATGCTTGCTCGGGTCGGGGGGTGCCTGCGTTGCATTCGAAAGATCTGGCGAAATTTTCGACGACACGACGCGAGACGACACACGACGAGGCTGTGCGACCGTGACGCTAGCCAGGGGACTACTGTATTCACGTGCCGCGCAAATCGTACTGGTCATGGATTGTGAATCCAGCTGGAATATCGTGTTGAAGCCTGCTTCTTCCACGGTCATTCGTGGGATGTGGATAGAAAAAGTGATGTGATATGAATATTTAGGTATAGCTGTCTATTCCCCGCAAGACATCTCACGGTTTGATTTTTCCACAGACGTGAAAACTTACTCATCCCGAGTGACACTGCGCTAAAGTCACCTGCTTAGTTAAGGAGTTAATCATTTGTTTGTGAGAAACACCTCATCGGTCAATTTCTGTGGACAATTCACGCGGTTGGAGCACAATCGTGCCGAATTACAGCTGTGAATCAATCAGTCCAACAGTTGACCACTGACCTTCGCTGCACTGTACTGAATTTATTGAGCCAAAGCTGAGCCACACAGACCTCATCCCCCACGTTGCAACCTGGCTTGAACAGTTTGTTGAAGTGGTTACCAGCGCACATGGCCGATAACAATCCGTTAGTGTGTCACGAGTGCGACGGTTGCTTGCGACACTTCTTGCCTTCAAGGAGCTCGTTGAGGCCTTGAGCGAAGTTGAAGCGCCGCAAACGAAATGTGGTGACGCTGCATACGCTCGAGCACGCTGATGTCGCAGCTACACATCTTCGCCCAACGTGCTCCCATCAAACCTTGATGAGTTTAACAGCTATTTCTCCCTTTTTAGTTTGTAGGACACCTCACACCTCAAACTCATCAGATTATCGCTCAAACTGGCTGATTTCACAACGAAATTTTTAATGATTGGCTCATTCTAATCATTTGAAAATCGGAAAACTATGATCGCATGTGCATTAAAGTAAAAACGGGCAGAATTTATTAGACTTGCTAGTGGGAGCACGTTTTCGGTTTCGGTCGCACAGATCGTTCTTGTACGTGTATTTCCTTGATGCTTCGCAGTCGTCATGACGTCCTGGTGCTTGTTGGTTGATCTCGCCTCGCCACGGTGGGCGCCCTGGCTGCTTCAGGGGAAATCAGGCAGCAGCTGTCCACGGACGAACCGCGTTTCCGTTTTCGTGCCCGTCAACGATTCTCAAAAGAAAGGTTTCAAGCGTTGAACTGCATTTCTCCTGATGTGCCCTTAGCGAAATGGTCCTACCCGAAACGAGACCAGGCTGCCCACGTCCCCTTTTGGCGCGGCGACGACCCCTGATTCGTTCAGTTTCCAGATGACCCAATCAAATGCTGCATTGCTGCAAGCAACCCTTCGCTGCCCTGCCCTACGGTTTTTTTCTTGGCCTTCCAGCCTCACCCGACCTGATGCGTCTGCCCCTGCGTTCTGCCTAGCTTCGATCTGATTCCTGCGCCCCACATCTCTGCCGCGTTATCATCAACGTGGAGACCCATCACTGGCAGAGCTGTTAGCAGCGTTGCACCGCAGCCCAAAAGTGCTTTTGGACTTCATGCTTCCAGGTAGAGTCAAGTTCCACATTCCATTATTTTCCCACAGGTGCCTTGCGTCCTTGGACAGCAGCACATTCAAAGGTATACTTCAGGCGCTCCTTCGTATTCCATTCCATCCACAAAAGCAACTTCAGTTACAGCTAGCTTGCAAAACTAGCTTCCTGTCACGGAATCTAGCTCTTTTCTCAATTAGCGCCCTTACTAATAGTATCAAGTCGTCCAAACGCAATTAGTGATCTAGTCGCAGACGTGGGCGCCACGAATTACAATGACGAGAACGCCGTGCTGTGAAAAGGCGGAGGTTCGAAAGGGGCCGTGGACCCGAGAAGAGGACGAGCTGCTAGTGAAAGCGATCAAGGAGCACGGCGAGGGGAACTGGAGCGCGATCCCCAAGAAAGCTGGTGAGCCGGCTGCGCTCAGGGATCCTCTTCGCTTCCAGTTCGCGCACATTTTCGTTCAATTTGCACGTTGAGATCGCGCCATGCGGCCTTTTCGCATTGTGATACACGCTCCCAAAACCATATCTCAGAAAGCTTTGTTTTCTGACTCGCGCGCTTGCGCTATCGCAGGGTTGATTCGTTGCGGGAAGAGCTGTCGCCTCCGGTGGGCCAACTACCTCCGCCCCGACTTGAAACGCGGCGCGTTTTCGGCAGAAGAGGAGGCGCTGATCGTGCGGCTGCACAAGGAGATGGGCAATCGATGGGCCAAGATCGCGCTCGAGCTGCCCGGACGCACGGATAACGACATCAAGAACCACTGGAACACGAGAATAAAGAAGAAGCTGCGCGAGTCGGGGATCGACCCCGAGACGCACCTCCCGCTCGGCACACGTTTGGCAGACGGTAAGACGTGAATGAATCGAGTGTTCCCCTGCCCTCTCCCTCCCCCTCTCCCCCGCCGCCGCCCCCCCTTTCTTTTCGTTGCAAAACGAACGGGATCAGAACGTACGCGCTTGTTGAAGAAGTATCACAGCACTCCGCTTTTATCCGATGCAGCCTATTAATGCCGTCATGTTTCGATCTCCTTTCGCGTCACCAGGAATGGCGCTCCATGCAATCAAGCGTCCACTGCCCGCAACACCTATGCCTGTCGCATCGGCCTACCCGCTCCCGCCTTCGAAGAAGCAGTGCCTCGAGCCTGCCGCAACCGCAGCAGTTCCCGCTTGCGCCCCACCGCACGCGCAAGCGCAAGCGCCGCTTTGCCCGCCATCCTCGTTCGCGGCCGAGATCGTCAGTAGCGCGGATGAGGTGAAAGCGGATCTTGCTCTTCTTCAAGTTGGGAGCGCGTCCGCGCAAGCGCAGCACGGAATGGGTTTCCGCAGCAGCAGCTGCAGCAGCAGCGACGAAGATGAGGAGGGTGATAGCGACGGTCCGAGTCTACTCGAGCACGACGGCGAAACTGAAGCTGGCTCGCCAACAAGCGTAATTGTTTCGCAAATCGGCGCTCGTGCTCGGGTAACGGCAACGGAAGCAGATGCGAGTTTGGGTTTGTCCGTGCGTGCGGGAGGAATCAAGGTTGAAAAGAGTGGGGCAGATGAAAAAAACGATTCGCTAGCGTCGGCATCAGCTGTTCACATGATGGTTTCGCAGAACGTTCAAGGCGTGAACTCGCTTTCGCCAGCAGGCGCTTTCGCGAAGTCTCGTTCGTTCAAGGTTCCGCCTCCGTCGCTGATCATTCCGTGTTCCGCTTCCGCGGACGAGGGAGAGGTCAGGGCGGAAGTTCCGCTTGCACCAGCGGTTCCGGCGTTCGGCGGGGCTGTGTTGGCGAGTCCTTTCATGCTCCGTAACTGGTAAGCCCTTTATACGGCAAACAACAATAAACCCCAGCTTATGCCTAGAAGCTATCCAAACACTGAAAGCTTATGCGTGAAATGACACAAAACATATATTCAGTTTCAAGTGTATCAACCCAGCTCGAATCATACACGCCCGTACATCTCAATTGCGATGCTTTTGTGACTTACACCACCACTTCGAACCAGACTCAAACCTCTCACTTTTTGTCTCTCTCCCCTAATTCTCCTCTAAATGCAGTTTATGGGACAGTTCCGATCTCAACTGCCCTTGGGCTGATGACCTGGACATGGACACGTCAGCAGCCCTACCTGTGCTGCCCAGTCCGAAGTTCATCCCGCTCACTCCATCCAGCACCGCCTTTGGGAGTTTCAGCTTCGGTACAAGCACACCCGGTAACAACACCAACTCAAGCAACTACAGTTACGGCTACAGTGGCAACAGCGGCAACAGCAGCAGTTATAACAACACGAACCACCACAGCAGCAGTTCAGCAGCAAACCACTTCAGTTTCCCCACTCACCCCACCCCACCGGCCTCAACCGCTGCAGCGGATCTCACCGCGTTCGACCATCTCCCCCAGCCACTCAGCGACAGC